AAAGCGAGTAAAAGCGAGTAGAGCCTGGCACAAGAGTGTGATTGGTGGAACTTCTGAGCAGCTCACAGCAACTCTCAATGATCCATAAACTGCACGCATCGTCCATACACATCTTGGCAAAGTCTTCTTTGTCTTTCAGTTTCTTAAGCATCTATAAACCTATAACATGGAAAGCCGGGTCTACCGTTCACCCCGGCCCGGCCAGAGGCCCCGCCCGGCCCGGCCGGGCTGAACCCTCTGCCACCTGACGCAATGGGCAAAGCAAGAACCCACAAATCAAGATGTATGCAGAAACACGTGGGCGGATGGATCGGCAAGCGATTTTGAATGTATGTGGGTTTAGTGTTGATTGAACCCTTTGTGGTCCAGTTAGGGCAGACCCTTGGATTTGGGGTTTGGAACACACTCTTTTTGGTCGAGTGCTGGGCATACTCGTGTGAGTCACAATGGGTCAGAATGTAAACCCTATTTGGCCGAGCGATGACCATACTCTTTTATTTGAGGTGTGAGTCAGGATGGATGAGGATGTAAACCCTGTTTGGTCGGGCGATGGTCATTCTCTATGATTTAGGGTGTGAGTCTGGATGGATCAACACGTAAACCCTTTTTGGTCGAGCCATTCTCTACGATTTGGGGTGTGGATCAGGATGGATCAACATATAAACCCTTTTTGGTCGAGCGATGGTCGCGCTCTTGCATTTGGGGTGTGAGTGAGGGTGGATCATGACGTAGACCTTGTTTGCACAAGTGATGGTCAGGCGCTTGGATTTGGGGTGTGAAGCATACAGTGATCTACCTCCAAGTGAAGATACTGTAACAAAGTTAGTATAGTTTTGGGAGATATAAATTACTTATAACTAAGTTATCATAGTTAACTTAACACAATTTATATCTAAGTAGTTATAACTTGAAAGGTACTTTGGAAAAGATTGGAAATCACAAGTATGAGTCAAGCGACTAAAAGGTTTTCAAAAAAGGTACGCGGAGCACCGCATATTGGAACCATGTGTGTTTATTGAAGGGATGGACAACCACCACAAAATCACACACACACAGCATACACACAAAGCCGTGGGTGGACCACCACCCACCGCAAGAGCAAACCTAGAGAAGGAACCAATTTTTCACAGGAGGCATATCACAGTGCTCTCTGTGAGATACCACCGGGCTGGCCTCTGCTCCGCATCCTCAGAGACCTTCTTCAAAGACTCAGGGACCGTCTCCACCACCTGAGTTTCACAAACAACCTCTGGCGTGTCTCGAGGCTGAGAGTCAGGGGAAGCCATGGTCGAAGCCGAGAAAGTGCGCAAAGAGGAGGGCCAAAGGTCTTGACTGCTTGGACCACAGCCGAACACATACAAACACATTTTGAACACATTCTTAACGCATATTAATGTTACAAATGTGTTAAAATGTGTTAAGTAAAGAAACAAAACACGAGCACATTTTGAACACAGTTTTAACACATATGCGTTTAAAAATGTGTGTTAAAATGTGTTAAGTAAAGAAAAAGACACAAACACATTTTGAACACATATGTGTTAAGAATGTGTTAAGAATGTGTTCAGATTCAGATGTGTTATACAGGTAAAAAATCCGTGGACCACCACTCCAAAATACAGAGTATTCACTTTGGAAGTTCATCTATATTCTTGAATGAGTGGACCACCACTCCAAAATACACAGTGTTCATTTTTAAAAGTTCATCAATATCTTGAATGAGTGGACCACCACTCCAAAATACAGTGCGTCTAAGTTTTCTTGCCTCCAAAATTGAATTACACGCGCTTCAGGGACAAAGGCTATACTTAAGTCAGAATGCAACCCATCATGTGAGGATTCAAAAGTGGACCACCACCAAAAGATCAAAAGGTGGACCACCACCTGCATGCCAAGAAGGTGGATCACCACCCCGAAACAGAGAGTTGTTGATTTAATTGAAAAGTGTATGAAAAAGCGAAACTTGTTTGTGACATAGCGCTTTCATGTCTGCAGTGTCAGGTAAAATGTTTCTAAAAAAGCACTTTAAAATGCTGACTAGGTTAATTTATATCTGATTTTTAGCATTTGGAGCTAACTTAGTTACAAGTTCGGTAAAAAACAACTTAGTTGTAACTAAGATATAAGTTCCCATAGACTCTAGTGAACTTAAACTATGTTACGCCATGTTAGAACCTATGTTACACCAGGTTACAACCTATGTTACCCCAAGATATAAGTAAGGGTAACTTGGCGGTAGATCACTGTAATGGATCACGATGATGTAAACCCGTGCTCAAGTGATGTACAAACTCCTACATTTAGGGTGTGAATCACAACGGTCGAATACGGTCGACTAACACACCTCCCGCTGCTATAAGCCCTCCCAGTGGGTCCTGGACAGGGGTCGGCCGCTGGCTTCTCACCCTGCTCCGCCGGCATCTCATCCGGCTTCTCGTCCGCCGGCTTGCGCAGCCGCTTGCGGTGTCCACTGGCGGCTGAGCAACGACGCTTCCGTTCAGCGGCTTCTTGAGCCTCCGCTTCCGTATCCTGCACCTGTTTCTGCTCCAAGGATTCCTTGAAGCGAGCCGGGTCACCAAGGATGGCAGCCCCGTTTCATCCGGGTGGAGCTACCCGACACGCCGCACAGGCATGCTCCCCTTTGATCGCGGGTGGAGCTACCCGACACACCGCCCAAGGCATGCGCGGGTGGAGCTACCCTCATCTCTCCCAAGGCGTGCTCCCGTTTGATCACGAGGCGCTGTCTACGGACCTGTGGCTCTGGTGGTCATGGACAAATCTTTCGCAGATTTACAAATGCGCTGGGCCTGTTCGCCACGCTGCGCTAAACGGATGTCGTGGATCCGGTCCACGTGCTTCAACAAATTCTTTTTGCCACGCTTCAGCTTTCCATGCAGAAGCCTTCCAGTGGACTTCCTAAACGTCCGGGTCATAGTAGCGGAAATGCTCCCAAACCTCTGATCTTGCTCCTTTGCGTGCAAGATAAGGAGACACCTTCGGAGGTTCCGGCTCTTTGGCCTCGTCCAAGTTAACGAGAGGTCCTGGCGCTTTGGCCTCGTCCAGCTGCACGGCCTCTGCCCTTGAGGGCGACACGGCATGAAGACTCTCAGGCACCAGAGCTCCAGAGTCACTGCCAACCGGACTGCCAGCTCGAACCGGCTGTAGCCAGCGCACTCTATCTTCCTTGTCTTGCACTCACTTGTCAAATCCAAGACATTGGCCCATTCCAGCTGTCTCACTGTCAGGCCCATCGCCGCTTGGCCCCACGGCACTGGATAGTGGCAATTTTTTGCCCTTTGGGTGAAAGAACCATAATCTGGTCTGACGAGCAGAGCCAAACCCCGCTTGCTTATCTCTCAACCGAAAAGGGCTTTGTAACTGCTGGCCGTGGCTGTGTGTGTTGGAATAGGGAGAATTTCATAGATCCCCTGAAGAAGGAAAAATGACCAGTCTACCCATTGGTGAGGGGCCTAAAAAGGAACTAGGGGTCCTCGGTCGGTCTACAGTTTAAGTCTTTGGAACCTCTGAATCCAATTCCCAAAGTAGCTCAACCACACTCTGGAGGTAAGGACGAAAACACACGTTTTAAGCACCGGTGCGTGTGTTGCCAGTTTGTTGTTCCAGGGGGAAGTGGATGGCGAAAAGATGTCTTCAACCGCTGTGTTTTGTTTGTCAAAGAGGGCCTGAGCCCTTTTGGTTTAGAAATGACTTCTTACCAAAGCACTAAGGTAAAACCCTTGGCAAAGGACATATGGACAGCCAAGTTGTCAGAAGCCCATTGGCTCAAAGCACGAAGAATGAGGGTATACCTTCAAAATTGGTTGTCTGGGTGTCGGATGTCATGCCTTTCTGTGTAAGGCTGAGATTAGGATGCTTTCGAAGCAATCGTGAAACCATATTCTGTGCCTTTAAGGCCCTTCGCACATCTATATAAGTGGTGACATTACCCTGACTCTCTCCACCCAATTTTTTCAATAGGAAATGTCATTTTCCATCGCTATTGATTTTTGCTCCGAAATCAATAGAATCGAGTTTTTTCAATAGAATGAAAACCAATAGGAGCCCAATAAAAATCAATAGAAAACCAAAAAATACACAATAAAATCAATCGAAATTGTCCTTAAAATCAATAGAAAATAGCATTAAAAATCAATAGAATTTTCCATTAAAATCAATAGAAATCTGAATTTAGAACAAAAAGAAATGATCCAAGGGCGGTGGCCGGGAAAGGGTGGTTCTTCTCCCCACAGGAGATCGACCCCATCCTGGGTCATGGCCAGGATCTTGGTGCCCAACCGTGCTAAGGTGGAGACTGGGCGCGCCCACGGGGCCAGGCGTTCTAGGGAGGGTTTCCCTCCACCATCTCGCAAAGGCTGGGTCTTGAAGGCCACTTGGAGTCTCAGGGACTCGTGGACACATAAGTCTTCCGAAATGGGGTCAAAGGTTGGGCAGTCTGTGTGGCTGCAACTCTGGTCCCACGGACCTGGTGTGCCGGGGTCCCCTGATGAGCCGGGCAGCCGTAGGCGATATCCGCGAAGACTTCAATCAACTTCTCATGCCTTGGCAACTTCAGCTGGTTCCTTGCACCCCACTTCTCACTGATCACTCGTGGGTAGTGGAGGTCACCAGGTGCTCCTTTGATGTAGGACAAAAGCACGTGGGCGATCTCGATGGCCTTCTGGGGATGAAAGACCCAGGCGCAAAGGTGGCCAGCCGCGCAGCCGGAAGCAGCCGAGGAAGGGGTTGGTGTGTGGTTTGGATTGGTGGGTCCTCATGGTTCTCTAGAAAGGAACTACCGATTGAAGGACCGGAGTAACGTCGGGTTTAACAGGGTAGTGTGCCTGGCAGCTTTAGGCAGATTTATAAAGGGTTGGACCGCAGTGACCCGGCCCGCAGCGGCCCGACCCGCCCGGACTGGCCCGGACTATCCATGTTATAAACATCTATAAGTCTATAAACGTATATTTAAACGTCAATGACTTGCTAAACTGCCTTCTTCCGCTCGTTCTCCTTTTGCTTCCATTCGCTGAACCAAAAGCACCGGATCTTGTTGATCCGTCGTGCCACGGCTCTTTCTGCGGCTCACTGTGCCGGGAGTGCAGCGGGCCTTGCATCGGGTCTGGCAGAATATCCTTGAATCGGCGTCGTTCCGTCTCGGCCTCCGATGGTTCCCAAAACATCCAGAAGTTATAAAGTCATGTAGACAGGTATATAGACTGGTCTGATGAATAAGAGATAACAAGAGAGTCCCCATCAAAAATGTAAAACCACCCTGGCCTGGTATATAGGTACGCTAGGGGGCGCTTTATGAATCAACCGGCATCATTGCATGAACGGGCTGCCATAGTCCTATAAAATATGTCCAAATATGTTCTAATGCTGGGTATACATGTGCTGGTTGGGAGGGGCACTGAAACATACGCACTGAAACCACTCGTCTTGCCAGAAACCACCAGAAAAGGTCGCAGAAAATGAAATCAAGCTCTTAGATGTTCTTATGCATCTTAGCTCACCACCATCAAACACTGTCCCCTGCGAGGTGTCAAAAGACTGAAGATGCGGGTTGTGGCGGCTGAATCTTGCTCCCGGCGCGCTGTTGGCACGCCAAACTCGCAAGGTTGCCCAAAACCATCCTGTGCTTCTGGATCCCAGGATCCAGCAAGAACATCATATTATATACACACTGGTGACAGCATGTCCTTGCAACCAAAAAAGCTTCGAAGGATGAACATATGCCTCGGACCGCTTCACCCTCCACCGCTGGACGCCGCCGTCATCCGCTGGCGCCCCGGGCACGAAGGGCGACGTCAGCGGCGTCGTCCGTTCCTTCACCTGGGAAGCTGAAACGGTGGAAAGGTCCGGTGAGGCCGGAATGGTCCGGTGAGGTCGGTGAGGTGGTGGAAAGGTAAACCAGAATCCCCACCATCATCCTGGACATGGGTGTGGCTGGACTGTGACTACCCTACGTATATAAACAGGTCTCCAGACAGGGCACCCATTGGAAGTGCCAGCCAGGTATATATATATATTATATATATATATATAATTACTAGGACTCACAAGGGTTGGTTAATGGACACCCCTTAACCTCTAAGGGGCTATCAATAGACACCCCTTAGGGCTGGTATATATCCAAATCCCAAAACAAGGCACTTCACAGAAACATGTGGGACTCCCATCTGTGCAATCTCCCTTTTTTTTGAAAACAATTACACCACACACCCGACCTCTCCACCTCCACCCCCAGGCGGCGCAACATGGATCCTCAAACAACACCTTGGAATGGATGTTCTGCCACCGTTCAGATTCAATTATCAACTAACCGAGAAATGGATTTGGATATATGGATGGATTTGGTTTGCTCACTTGCGATCGTTTGTGCTTGTGAAGTCCAGCACAGTCTGTGTCCAAAAGTCCATTTATGGCTTGCTCAATTGAGTTCTGTTGAGGGAAAGGATCGGGAAACGCGGAGACATGCCTGATCATTTCACTTGAAACGGAGGGAAAACGCGGTGACATCCTTTGAATGAATGGCTGGCTCTCTCCCTGGATTCGCCCCCCCCTTCGCCCCGATTCGCCCGGGTTCACTCTCCGGCACTCTCCGGTTCACTCTCGTGAACTCGCCTGCTCCACGCGCTTCATCACATCCTGCGATGCAGCTGCACGTCGTGCAGAAAACACCGCTTGGAATGATTTATACATCATACATCTGCAGTTGGGAGTGTTTTCAGCGACCAATACTATAGACTTATTATAGGCATCCTTTCCAGACCGGGGAGCTGTGGTGCAACCGGAAACCGGGGGCCTCGTCTCCATGGCCATCGATGGGTCGACCCCACTCCAAGGGCCCTCCGGCCCCAGCGGTTTGGCCCTGCCGGGGGGTTCAACGATGCAGTGCTATGCCTGTGGGAGGGCTATGCAGTGCTATGTGTGTGTTCAGCTGGGTCTGTGGGTTCAGCTGGCGCTGCTTGGGCTCCAGTGATGATGTCTAGGGAAGAAAAAAACCATAGACATGCCCCCTGGCATGCAAAGATGGCAGAAAGTGGCCATCTCATGGTTGTGGCCCCAAACCAAAGGAACGATTCACAGCTCCCGGGTCCCAGGGTTTGGAAGATACTATGTTTTGTCTGAAACAATGGGTGGGAAATATTATAGACTGAAGGAAGCCCAACGCCCGCTAGAAAGAAAGAATTGACTGCCCTACTTCGAACAAAAAAGAACTTTGCGATTTTGACTCTTTACGGTTTTCCATGCAGGAGCCTCAAGATCATCAAGTCTGGCCATGGAGAATTGATCAGAATTGGGTGTATTTGTCTATTCAAACTCATGTTCAACCAGATCATCCCATCATTCTTCCCATCCGCGCTGCGCAGGATTGGAGCTCCTCCGGTGCCAATCCTTGCATCTTCTTCTCCATCTCCGCCTGGCGACAGGTCCGTCTCGTCTCCCGGGTTCTCCCGGAGGCTTCGGAACCCGACCGGCAGCGACACACCGTTTCGCTCGCTGTGGAAACGGACCGAGGCTCCCAAGGGCTTCCGAAACCGGCGGTGGACGCCGCGCCTTCAAGACGGAGGCCACCATCGAGGCCCCGATGCAGCCGATCAGCACGAAGACCACGATGTGCTGCAAAAAGGTCAAGTGGTGGGAAAACGCGGAGGTCGTGCACGGCGGGATCGGGGCCGACACATTGGAGTGGATGGTCCGTGGAAGTCCAAAATGGACCGGAACACCTTCCTAGCAAGAGCAGGCATGTATGATAACGACCCTGGAAGAAAGAGCGCTCCAAGCCATCTTTTCCTGGATTCCGCCCCCACTCTTTTTGGGACTGCTTTCAAGCCTTCTCCCCAAAACCTTCTAAGCTTGATCAACCCTACGGCTTTGGCACCCTGCAGTCATCAAGCATTACTTAGCGGCAGTCATTTCTTGAAGTTCCTCCCAAAGGGCCCGGAGAGAAAGGACACATACACATACATACTGTCCCCCAAAACATTACTGCAGATGTCCCAGAAGGGATTCCTCTGAGCCAACAATCTCATGGTTTCGTCTCCCAGCTTCACCCAGCCAACGCCGCAAGCGAGACACCGTCGAGAGACCTGGAGTCTCGTTATGTCTCTTTTTCCAGAAAACACCATGGATCTCTGCATGAGCCTCCACCCCACTGCTTCCACAAAAATGAACGTCTTCTCCCCATGGAGCCCTTCGAAGCCGAATGAAAAGCCCCGGCACCGGCTCGATGGTGTAGTGGTGTGCCAAGATGAGTTTCACGCCAATGAAAACGAGAACCTCGTTGGGGGCTTGGAGGGGTTTGGTGGGTGTCTTGAGACTCCAATATACACCTGATACAGGTTCTCCAATAGGTGCTATGCTATCAGGTCCATATGCCATATGGCACTGTTCTCTGATAAGACCCGGCTGATGGCAAGACTTGGAGCCAATTTGCTCTATCTGTGTGACACTCAGATAGTGCACACCATGAACAGGACTTCAAGTGCTTGAAGACGAACACCGACTCTGAATGAAGAGTGATGTACTTACTAGTCTGCTGCAGCTACCTCAGTCAGTGGCCTGCAAGTGTCCAAAACAATCAGAACCCAACGGATTCGCTTCTTGATCTACCTGGAGCAACAAACAACCCTATCTTGGAATTGAATATTCCAGTTACGAAATTAATCTTCCAGTGTGCAACTTTCATCAGAGTAAGCATGAAAACACAAAAGCCTGTAAATGGGAAATTTCACCCACTTCTATGCGAAAACTGCTTGGGATGAGCAAATTGGCAGACTGCAGGGCATAATGTCTAGTTGATCCATAAAACCTTACATTGTAGATTTCTGCCAGCCAGGGCACGGCGGACACACCGTACTTGAGGAGCTCGAACATGTGCACGAGGACATCCTCTGAAATTGATGCACCAGCGGGATTTTTTCTTGTCAAGCTAACTGGATTGAGCCCCTTCGCTATTGAACCAATGGGCTACCTTTCACCTTTCACCTTTCACATGTGCAGAGTGTACTAAAGCGCAAGCCCTACACAGAGGAATTGGCTATAATATTACATGCAAAGCTTCAGGCTAAAAATTCGGCCTAAAATGGCTTAACCAATGGACTAACAGAAAATTGAAAAATACTCTCTCACAAGTCAAACACCTAAAACCTCCTAGAACTTCCAAACCACTGTGACATGCTGATTCTGTACCATGTTTCATGGAGTCATGGCCCAGCAAAAGCTCGTCCCAAGTCCCCCGCGCAAACATCAACACCCCAAAATCCAAACACTCCAAGCAAGATCAAGCAAGTATCTTATGTGAGAATTGGAAGCTTGCGCCCATCCACAGCATTTGCAGCGTTCATGTATATACATGCATACCATTCATATAAAATTGTGAATTGTGTTTTTAAAGAGAAAACACAACTGAAAGGCACAGGGTGAGGAGGACCCCTTTGATCAGCAACCAACTGGGGTGGCTCAAATGAGAGTAGACTCGGTAGGTCAACTATATAGGCATTGCTGAAAATTCAACGTCCTTCTTCCTCCACTGGCTTCTTGCTGGGAAGTTCAAGCCACCACTGGAGAAAACACCAAACAATCTGGTCAAACCCAAGCGTGGAAAGGGATCCATTCCATTCCAAACAAAAGCTCTTTATCATTCTGACCTGCATCCACCCATCCCAGAAGGGTCCCTTCGCCTCCCTGGCGCATCCCTTCGTCCGCCGCGAAGACGACGCTTCCGGGCGCCCCGGGCGATGATGAAGAACGTGGCCCGGAGCCCGAGCATCGCGAAGACCGCGGAGGTATACCTCGGCTCGGCTCGGACCGTGGAACCAACGGCGTTCAAGGCCGAGCTCTGCCGGGTTCCTGCAGTGGCAGAGCAGGCCCTGATCTTTTGCCCCGGCTGGGCCGAATGAAATCTGACCTTCCAACAAAGTGATTTCAGGGGTCCCACATCAAAGAACAGTAAGCGTCGACTCTCATGAGCAAGCCACTCCGACTCCCCATCTCACATGCGGGCAGTCCAAACATCCTCCTCAGAATCATGGACCCTCAAAGGTGAGGAGTTTGGGACGCTCAGAATCATGGACGCCTCACCCACCGCTTCTCGTTGTTTCTGGGGGACCCAACACCACATGTACAGTAAGCCGTTCTGATCCATTCGGATCCATTCGGGTTCCAACAGTCCCAACCATCCGCGCAGAAATCGGGTGTCCCCGACGCCAAGAAGAGGTCGTTCACCTGCGCCACGATGGCGCTCACCGAGTCCACCGCGAAGATGAGGTCACTGCGGCGGAGCGGAGCGGAGAGGAGCGGAGAGCCGGGGGGTCCTCCTGAGGGCCATGGGGTAGGAGAACGTCTCCTTCGTTTTTTGGGAAGACATCGACCAAGACATCTGGATGAGATTCATCCGAATCTAAAAAGCTCCGCGGAACCAAGAGATGCACCAGGACATCGATTTCGGAAGCAAGGAGATCTCCAAATTGCTAATTACAATTTGTTGCATCCTTCTCTTTTGGGGCTCCGGGGCGCCCAGCAGCTCGCCCCGGCACGCCCAGCAGCTCGCCTGATCTCCAAACAGCACACCACCAGGAAGAGCATTGTGGCACGGAACTCCCAGGTATGCCTCCATCGCCGGAGGCGAAGGCGAGCTCTCTTCGGCGGATTTTGTTCAGATCGATGTGGGGTTCGCTTGGTGCACTCACTGACGTCAAAAAAGAACTCCTATAGATTTTGAAGGGGCATTACAATGATCAACAATTCTATCATATATTCATAGAACCTTGATGCTCCCGGTGCGAACGACCCCCGAGCTTCAGCAGCAGCTGCGGCTTGGCTTCGAACGAACAAGTGCGCCGTGGAACGGACGTAGCAGGTCCGGGTCTCTGTCCGGTGAGAGACGCGGACCAGACCTGTCTGGCCGGTCTGTCTGACCGGTGAGCCGGCATGTTGCTATACGGGATATGTGTTCATACCGGTGTTCACGGCATGGCATACGGACAAATGATGGCAGGCCAATAGATCCATGAGGGAATCCAAGGCCATCTATATAAGATTATATAATCGGACATACTGAATCTTGGCTTCAAAAGTACAAGGACCTGAATTGGTTAAGCTCCTGGTTACATTGGCCGTTTCTGTAATTAACCAGTTCATGGTCCCAACTCTCCGACGGCAGTCGAAACACGAAGCTCTTTGTCCAGCACTCTTTGCGCGTCGCTCTCAAGTCCTTCGGCACCGAGGGAAGCTCAGTGATCGAGCTCGACTCTCCACAGTGCATCTCATTAGCTTCGTGGCCCGCACGGCACCATGGACCCTCTCTGACGGCCTCCAGATACACGTGTCCTGCTCAGACAAGGCCGTGTATCGACAAGGCAGGACCTGGAGGGAAAATTGAGGCGATCGAGAAGGAAGGACAAGCGATTGGTCTTGCGGCAGTCAATAGTCAACAAATGCCAACGAATGTCAACATCATGCATCCTAGCAGCGCAAGTCGATGAAGAGGTTGTTGAAGGCCCGGTTGCTTGCTTCAACCATCCTCACCTTAGTTCCCTTCTAACTTGGAAACCAGATGAACTGAACGAGTCTCCGGCAGATCCTTCATGCGGTCGGGTCACTGAAAACCGTCCGAGGACTGCCACGGACGAGGCGATTTGTACAGCTAGTCCAACGGAGCAGATGGCAGAGATGTCCCTCATGAAAACATGTCTTTTGCCTCTCCAAATTTGGGGTTCGGATGAAACACCCCATCATGACAATTCCTCAAGAATCAATGCCCGGAAGATTTGCACCACATTTGACGAAATGGAATCAATGCAGCAAAATCGCCATGAATCCAAACGGCGCAGCGCCCAAGCTGCAAAGGAAACTTGTCAGACCACATCAAACCCAACACGCCCATGTGGTTACGAGAATTCGGATCATTGAGTGGGGTTTTGGAAAATGGGACGGTGATGGGACGTTGAATGCTTTCGTTGGTTTTGTTGTTTGCTTTGTTTTGTTTGTTTTCTTGGTGTTTCTTGGTTTAGTTTGCTTGGTTGTTTGGTCGGTCGGTCAGTTGATCGGTTGGTGGGTCTGTGGGTCGGTCGGTTGGTTCGTTGGTTGGTTCATTGCTGCCATGCTAACATCCGGTTCCAATTGGAGAGACCCTTAAAACGCAAAAATTTATCAAAAAAAAATGCGCATGTGAAGCATGCTAAATGACTCCCGAACTTGAGATGACTCAGTGAATCTTAGTGACTGAAGTCTGAAGTAACCTGAAGAACAGTGTTCAGAACTGTTTTCAGAACATTCGGGTCACAAAAAAGGACGTCTGCAGGTGAATTCGCTGCCATCAGGTGATGCGCTGCCATCAGATCCCTGGACCTCCCTCAGATCCTCCACCGCGGCGGTGAGAAGCTCCTGGGATGGAAGCTCGGACCTTTGCCACGAAGCGAACAAGGGACCATCAGTCCTGGCGACCTGGGGAGTCTCGCAGATCCCAGAGGTGTTTGCGGGGAAAGGGGACCACCCGTAGACCAAAGATCTGGCAGACCGGCAGACCGGGTCCCTTCCCCGTCAGATCAATTGGAACGGTCACTTCCCGGAGGTCATTGGCATCCGGGCGTTGGACAAAATCTACTGAACAATCTGAAGAATTTTCCTGCAGGACAGCCTCGGGACTGGAAAGGGACAACCAAAAACACACGGAGAAGGCCACGAATGCCCCAGCGCCACCTGACTGCCTCTCCTGGAGCTGCCCTGCCTCTTGGAGCGACTGCCTGCCGTTCGTTGCGGCTGCCACGAACTGTGGTGCGGACCCTTCCGAACTCCGACGCGGTGTGGAGCGGAGTTCGCTCCGGCTGCGGAGCTGTTCCGATTCACCACCTTCACCACCTTCACTTGTCCGCCCCAAAAACACGATCTGTTTTTGTTGAGCATACTGTAGAGCCGAGTCGTCTCGAATCTGCCCAGAGCCGCCGGGTGCTCCAAAAGGATCTTTAAGCCACTGTCATGGAAAATTGCGTTTTCATATGTTGTTGGTGCTTTGATGTTCGTCCTTTTTTTGGTTCATTTGTTCATGGAGTAAGTAAGACACCCGCTGAATATGTTCATGGAGTAACTACTGTGGGATGTGTTGGATAAACACTGTCCTATTAAGGTCTCCAACTTGGGTGGGCCCTGGAGATCGGGACACACATGCTAAAGTGCAAAGGACTGCTGTGTGAGAGTCAGCGCGTGTGATTGTTTGCAGTTTTTGACGTTTTGTTGTTTGCTGTGAGAGCTTTTCCAGGAGTCAGCAGAACTTTGGGCCAGAAACTCAAGACACTGCACGTTTCTCATCAAGAATTGTTATAACATAGACAAAATTGTTATAACATAGTAGAAATTGAAATAATTGGGATTGATCTTGCAAGTTTATGATTCTTTCTTCCTGTCAGGTAGGTGCTTGGTGGGTCCTGGCCACCGGGACAGCCCAGCAGAATTAACAGGCAGCATCAGGCAGCACTGAGGTCAAAAACATTATTTAACTAAGATTTGTTGTTGCATCAACTGCGAAAACCTGTGATCCAAAACTCAACAGCATCATGTGAAACATGTTTTCCAGGGAGACTGGAAAACATAAAAGCTCAATGTCAGGGCCAGCGCAGTGCAAGGACTTCGCAAGAATCTGCACTGCATAAAGCGAAGTATTTTCTAGTGGCAGCAGCTTATGTTTAAATGATTTGTTCACTTGTGGCCTGTAAGGTAGGTGTTTGGTTGGTGGGTCCTGGCCACCAGGACCCCAGCCCTCATAGTTAAAATCAGCGCTGAGGTCACAAACGTATGCACCACTTAGGTCATCCGTGTTGGAAATCTTTAAGGCCTGAATTCAACAACATTATGAATCACTTGGAAGTAACCCGTTTAACCAGTCATACCATGTGAACCATGTGAACCACTTCTAACCGTGAACCGCCAGGGCCAGCAGAGCAAGGACATCAGATCAGCATCAACCTTAAAGCCAACAGTTTGCTTCTCAACGTTTGAGCAGTAAAGAAGTGGCCTTTCATTCTCAGTTTCTCAAATGCATGCTATTTATATATTGCAGTCTTGGTATCCAACTTGTAAATAAAGGCGCAGACCCTACTTATGTAAATGCTTCTTCTATTGTAAAAATGTTGTGGTTTTCATGTTCACTCATGCTCTTGCCTGTCAGGGAGGTGTTTGGTGGGCCCTGGCCACCAGGACCTGCTGCAAGAAATAGGTTGGAGTGGGTCCTGGCCACCAGGACCTACTCACACACTAAGGCCCAGGTGGTGAAAAACTAGGCACCTACTGGATAAGTGGGATGCGCTGCGCAAGCGCCGCCTTTTTTGGGGGATGGGTGAACGAGATCGTGCATGAGCTTTCCATGGCCCTGCACTCAAAAGGTTTGCACTGTTGACTCTTTGAAGCAAGATCAAGCATCTTGTCACAAGTCAGCTGCCAGGGTTTTGTTGGTGTGCAGTGTGCTTCTATATGCTTCTTTACTAGATGACCTCCTCTTAGGATTGCAGTGGCTTTGGCTTCTGGTAGCTACAGGCTTCCATGTGTGTGTTTAAAATACAAGCACAATGATTTGTTTTTGCAAACTAAGGCCACTAAGGTCACAGCATACTAAGGTCACAGCGTCACTAAGGCCACAACGTCACTAAGGTCATCACACCAAGTGTGAACAACCACACAGCAGGGACCAAGTCTTCACCAGAACAACATGTAACCATGCTGTTGCTTCACATGCTCCAGTCTGGTCTCGGGTGCAAACGCCAATAGGTTCAAGATAGGTCCAAACCTCAGGGGCCAAGTCTTCAACAGAACCACCAGTGTGTAACAATGCTATTGCTTCACATGCTCCATTCTTCAAAAGCAGTGGCAGCAGCTCAAGGTTGTTTCATCGCTTCTTCTTCTTCTTTCTCATCGCTTCTTCTTCGGGGGAGGCACCTCAGTCTGCACACCACCAAGTAGGTCAACATCATTGTCAACATCATACCACACCAAAAAAGGTGAGGACAGGATTGCGATGAGGTCGATGAGCTTGATGATGTAGATGAACTGCTGGATGGTGCACACTTAGCTGAAGCTTGCTTGGATGAACAGCTTGACGGGGCAGAAGCTGCCTTTGCCTGAAAAACATCATATCACAACAACAAACTCACCAAAGCATGATGCTTCAACATGCCTGTAAAGTTCTCAAGGACCTCCCCCCAGTAGTTGGCGAAACCAATAGCAGCTCTTTTCCTGAGCATTGTGAGTGCTTGGAGCTTGTATAAGCAAGCATGGTGCACTTTCAATATGCATTGGAGCCAAGAGGCTGCATCTCCTGCTGATTTTTCCTCAACTTTAAACCATTCTGTTTAAGAAAAAGGGCACTGTGAATTTCACTCAAGCTCCATGTCTTCCCAGCATCTCTCTCTCAAAGCGTTCATTGCAATCCTTCCAGCCGCGGTTACTAAGTAACAAATGTTGTGAACTCTTTGAACCTTTCCTTCCATCATTGGTTCCTGACTAGCCAAAACTAAAAAAACACTTGCTAATGCACTTTCCCACATTGCGCCAACTGCCTGCCCCAACCTTTGATGCTCAATGTCAATTGAATGCAACACACTGTAATGGCAGCAAGCAAAA